TCAAGGGCAGCCCCATGTAGAGCACATTGCAGTATTCTACATGGGGCTGCCCTTGAGGTGCATCCGGCGACTGCAGTTAGTTCAGAACGTATCTTTTTTAAGAGAGAGAGAAAAAATCAAGCCAATCTCAATGTTCAGCTCAGGGGAAGCTTCTGTTTCTGTGCTTGAAAATAAGAAGCAACCACTTTTATTAGATTCCAGAACTTAACTTTTTTTTTTAATAAGCCTTATCAATTCGCCCATATACACCTGAATATTAGCCCAAAAGCTGATCGGCGCGCTTTCTAAAATTAAATTTTATATAATGTTAGTACAGAAACGTAAAAACTGTTTAGAAACAACAATAGGTGCCTTTAAAATGAACCTTGGGCTTTTAAAACTGGATCCCTTGTTCCGTAATGCAGAACGGACGTTTCGCCACGCAGTTGTTCTGAAGGTGACACGAAGTCATTAAAAATCCTTGGGTGCCGTCTGGATGGGGATGCCTGGAGAAGAAGATCCGGTGGGTGACGAGCTGTCGCCACGGTTTACAAAGAAAAGGGCGGTAATCTGAACCTGCATCACACTCAGTTTTTTCTGAGCTTTCCCCAAAGTTTGGTGACTTCTGCATAAGCGACTGAGTAGTGGCAAACAGTACCAAGTGATGCTCCCTTATAAGCTTTTGCAGAACCTGCACGCATCTTTTTAGGTTCGCTTCCTGCAAACTCAGGTTTTCTCCTCCGTTGGCTCGGTCTATCCAATAAAATGCCGACATGCTGTCTACGATCAAGAGGGAAAGGGAAGGGTGGGAGAGAAACATGCCTTCCAGAGAGTAAAGGCTAATCAGCAGCTGGGAACTGCTGTGGCAATTAATAAGGAGGAACCTCTCCAGGTAGCGCTTCATGGTGGCTTCGGTGCCTCGACACGACAACCTGTATTCCAGGAGAGTGATTAAACGCAGCATATCGAAATGGAAGTCCGTATCAATGAAAAGCACGCTAACTTCCAAACCACCTCTTGATTTTGGAAGAATGCAGCGAGCAATGAGATGATAGAGCATTTCTGTTTTTCCTGTCCCTTCCGCACCGTGGAATTCGACGACGTCTCCTGTGGAAGCGGAGAAGAGAAATGTGGTCACCTACAATACCTCTGTCCTTTTCCAAATTATTATTATTTTTTCCCCTTTGAATCCTCGCACTTCACATATAATCCCAACAGTGGTGGGTTCCAGATCCCGCTGCAACCGGTACGGTGCAACGGGGCTGGGCATCCACCACACGCACACACACATGCGTACTTACCGCCCGCGACGCTCCAGCTGCTCGGCGGAGCATCGCATAGGAGTCATATGCTCCGTGTACGTATGCTTAAGCCCCGATAGGCTCAAATACAGGTAAGGAGGGCTAGTGGGCCCTCCGGAGCACCATACTGGAACGGTATCTGGTGCTCCCAGCAGGCACCGGTATGCCGGGGCATACCAGTCGTATCCCACCACTGAATCCCAAGTAAAAACACTTGGAATCTCCTGATTATTAGACAACTCCAATCCAGCATAATTGGTTCGCCTTTTCTGGTTTTACAGGAATTAGTCAGAGTAAGTGGCACTATAAACAAGGAGATAAAACCCTTATTGGAGGAGCAAACTAGTACATTTGTATTTTCTAGAGCAAAAAGCTTCCCTGATCGTTATCTAATCTCCAGTGTTCTTATTGAAAATGGACAGATAAAATGGATCATTTTAAAAATTACTGGAAACTATCAGCTGACATAACAGAATACAATAAAACAGATTAATGGTTATTCTTGGGATATTCTATTTAATTTTTTTAAACTTTTGTATTATGTGTTTCTTTTAATGCATGGCCCGTCAAAACCGCGCTCGACTAAACCGCGCCCGATTAAACCGCGTCGCTGACGTTATTAACAGGGCGACAACAGCCAGCGCGGAAAAAGAAGGGCACTTTAAATAGCGCTTTGAAAGCAAGCCGATTCAACTTAAGGTAAGGGTTAGCTTTAGGGTTAGGTTAAGGGTTAGGGTTAGGTTTAGGGTTAGGTTAAGGGTTAGGTTAAGGGTTAGGATTAGGTTTAGGGTTAGGTTAAAGGTTACGTTTAGGGTTAGGTTAAGGGTTACATTTAGGGTTAGGTTTAAGATTAGGTTTAGGGGGGGTTAGGTTTAGGGGTTAATTTTAGGTTTAGGGTTTACAGCGTGCTTCTGTCTCTGCGCTGTTGTCGCCCTGTTGATGACATCAGTGATGCGGTTTAGTCGGGCACGGTTTAGTCGAGCGCGGTTTTGTGGATGAACCCTTTTAATGTTGTACGCCGCCCTGAGTCCTTGGGAGAAGGGCGGCATATAAATCTAATAAACCAAACCAAACCAAACCAAACTAAACCAAACCTATAACCATAGTGAGTTTCTTCAAATTTCCAAAATGTGTAAATTTTTAAAGTTAGAGGTTGTGTTTTTGGGAAGAGGAGAGATCTGTAGCACAGGCAGTCCTCAACTTTCAACAGTTCATTTAGTGACTGTTTGAAGTTACAATGCACAGAAAAAAGTGACTTATGTCCGTTTCCCACACTTACAACCACTGTAGCATCCCCTTGATCACGTAATCAAAATTCAGACACTTTGACAACTGACTCATATTTATGACCCTTGCAGTGTCCCGGGGTCACGCAATCCCCTTTTGCAACTTGCTGACAAGCAAAGTCAATGGGGAAGCCAACTTCATTTAGCAACTTAGCAAGTCCAGTGATTCACTTAACAAACTGTAGCAAGAGAGGCCGTAAAACTCACTTGACAATTGCCTCACTTAGCAACAGAAATTTTGGGCTCAATTGTGGTTGTAAGTTGAGGACTACCTGTATTTCAAAGTAGCATATTTGCCAGGGGGGAAAAAATATATTTTCAAACCATAAACGGGATATCCTTCTTCAGCAAACAGGAAGGGTTCAAGAGTTTTGAGAGAACTTCGACCCTCAAGACGTGCAATCAACTTCGGGGGGAAAAAAGACAAGTCATTAGATATCATAAATATCTCACGATCAAGGCAACTAATTCCACAAACGATAGAGGCACGCAGGGCTGCCAGTTTCCCTTGGACCAGAAAAGAGCACAATCTGCAGAATAAACAAATCTTCTAAAATAGTGGAACCATCAACTTCACTTGTAAACTACACTTGTAAGCTGCACTTGTAAACTACAAATTGTTCGCTGGGCAGGGGCATTTCCCAAGTGAGTTGTCTTTTCCTAGACATGCAGGGATTTAAAATACGGTGGTACTTCGGTAGTCCTCATTAATTGGTTCCGTGAGGTGCGATGAGTATCAAAAAATGATGAATACCAAATAAATTTTTCCCATAAAAAAGTAATGTAATGAGTCACAAGGCAGCCGACCCTGGAAGGTTCTAGCTTGTGCATTGAGTACGAAACAAATAATGAGTCCTGGGACAAAATTTTCATATCAAAATGCATTGAATATTAAATTTGATGAGTTTCAAAGCAGTTGAGCACCAAGGTACCACTGAAATGTCCTTCCAATTTTATCTGAATTTCAGTGTTCACTTTCATCAGAGCCAAAAGAGCTTAATCGTGCAGCTGCGCGAGCGATTGTGTGTGCACCTCGGTACACCCACGTTACACCTATCCTCCGCGAGCTGCACTGGCTACCGATCGGTCTCTGGATACGCTTCAAAGTGCTAGTCGTATCTTATAAAGCCCTTCATGGTATTGGACCTGGGTACTTGAGAGACCGCTTGCTGCCAATTACCTCCCACAGACCCGTTAGATCGCACAGGGTCAGCCTCCTCCGGGTTCCGTCTACTAGTCAATGCCATCTGGCTACCACCCGGGGGAGGGCCTTTTCTGTGGCAGCTCCGGCCCTTTGGAACGAACTCCCCGCAGAGATTTGGACCCTCACCTCTCTCCAGGCCTTCCGAAAAGTTGTCAAAACCTGGCTGTGCCGGCAGGCCTGGGGTTGATGAGTTCCCTTCCCCTCTCGACCTGAGTGGCTGTGTGATTCTTGGCTATTTTAACTACTTGTATTGTACTCTGTGTTCCCTTTCCCCCTTTGAGTTGTTCACCGCCATGAGTCCCTCCCAGAATAGGGCGGCATATAAATAAAACAAATCTCAATCTCAATCTAAAAGAAAAACATTTTAGGATTTTCAAACTGCTACTAATCTTGTGGTCTTTCAGGGTCTTCAAATACATATTAAGGTGAAAAATGCAGACTAGTCTGAATTTGAATAGCAGAATTCATGGCCTGTTTTCTTTTTTCCCCCCTGGACATACTTGGTTTTTATTTGTAACTTTCGTTCTGAGGATAAAGTCCTGGAGAACTCAAAATACTTGAAAACTTGTCGTCCCCCACCCAAATCAATATTTTAAGATAAAATTGTATTATTTTACATTAACTATTAGATCCAAATTATTGCAACCCCCAAGCTCAAATAGTAGCTTGCTGTATACGATAACCAGTCCCTCCAACTCTTTCTGGAAGCTGCAAATTTGCAAGATACCCAACATTTTCAAATGAAGGAAATATTTAGGCATTTGGCATACAGTTGCTTATGCAGCCGAAGGTCAAATGATTTTTAAGTGTTCCATTTTTCTAACACCATGGCATTGGAGACAGAATGGCCCATTTAGTTTGGACTGCAAGGTTCATGGCATTTAACAAGAAATTCCTGGAAAACACACTCAAGAGAGCCTAATGCAATATGGATTTTTGTGTTAGGTGGATACGTCTCTCAATTTAATGGGATGCTTTGTTTTAATATTTCAAAACTCCCGAGATTCAAAAAGACAGAAATGGACATGTTCCCAATGGCATCATGTGAAAAGTTGTCACACATCTGTGTAATATTTTTGACCCATCATCTTGTCTGCTGGGTTTCTTTTTGCCGAAGTTTAATTCCTTTTAGTAATGACTTTTTAAAAAGCAAATATCAAATAATTAAGTTCCAGCTCTTGCTGCTCGCTTCTCTATGGGAGGATCAGTAATGAAAACCTTTTGTACTTTAGAGCAACGGGGCAATTATTTTTTATTGCAGCTTTCCGCTTTCAATTTCCACAGAAAGAATTTTGACAAAACGAAAATATCGAACCTTATGGTAGACAAAATTCAGCTAACAAATACCATATTATTCCGAGTGTAAGACGCATCTTTCTCCCCTTAAAAAAAGGGTGAAAAACTGGGTGCATCTTACACACTGAATGCAGCATTTTTGGCCTCCTAAAACCCCACCCTGCGCATCCCATTTTTCATAAAAATGGATGCGCAGAAGATTTGGGAGGCCTCCAAAATGCTAGGGAGGGAAAAACAGCCCTATTTTTTTGCAAAACTTGAGGCGTTTAGAGGGTTTGGGAGACCTGTAGAGCACTCCTGGGGGCTGGGAAGGGCAAAAACAGGTCTGTTTTTCACAAAAATTGAGTGTTTTTGCCCTCTCCAGCCCCCAGGAGTGGGGGCCTCCCAAACCCTCTGCACGCCCAGTTCTTTTGCAAAAAACAGGTCAGAGGGTTTGGGAGGCCTCTGCTCCTGGGGGCCAGAGAGGGCAAAAACACTCAATTTTTGGGCCAGAGAGGGCAAAAATGTTTTTTTTTTAAACTGCCTCTTCAAAATCTTGGTGCGTCTTGTACTGATGCATCTTATAGTCTGAAAAATATGTCAGTTTTCTCAACTTTGGTCTCCAAAAATGTTGGACAGGCTGTAGAGAGGGAATTAATCAGTGAAAGAATGCACATTCTGGAGAGAATGGCATTTAACAAGAAATGCCATTCGCTCCCTGAGGATGGATGGGCTCCAGCACAAGACCACAAACTCAGAAGACTAAAACTCTGGCCCCAGTGACCCACTCAGATTGGATTCTGCAAACGTTATCCTGGCACATGTATATTTTGCCTTCATTCGTAATGCATTCTCTGCCCATTTACATTACAGGTAGTCCTCGACTTACGACCACAATGGAACCCAAAATTTATGTTGTTAAATGAGACATTTGTTAAGTGGGTGTTGGCCCATTTTGCAATCCTCCTTGCCTTGGTTATTAAGTGAACCATTGCAGCTGATAAGTTAATAACCCGGGTTGTTAAATGAACCTGGCTTCCCCATTGACTTTGCTTGTCGGAAGGGTGACAAAAGTCACCCCATGACCTTGGGACACGGCAATGGCCATAAAATGAACCAGTAGCCATGCCATAAATTTTGATCACATGACCATGGGGATGCTGCAAAGGTTGTAACTGTGAAAAATAGCCAATATTCACTTTTTTTCAGTGCTGTTGAACGGCCACTAAATGAAATGTTGTAAGTCAAGGACTACCTCTATTACATATATCTCCAGTTAAAAGATTCAGGTGGTTAGTTACAAATAAGATTCAGAGGCTCTGAAAGACTAGCCCCCCCAAAAAATGCCCTTGAACTGAGCGTAGCTTTTGCTTACTGCATATCCATAAAATATTTTTGGTAATGTAGACATGGGTTCATCATTGTCTTTTTTCCAAGATCTTTTTAAAAACTCCCCAATCTAGAACAGGGCTCTGTGGTTTCCTTGTGGTATTCTATAAAGCACTAACCAAGACAGCTTTTGTTAACCTTCCCACTTCCAAAGTTAACAAGCAGCTGCAACCAAATGACTGATAAATAATTCGCCTTAGTAAAAAGATTTTTTTTAAGATTGCTCAGTTTCTGCTCTTCTAACTACTAGGCAAGTCATTCTTACTGTTTATTGCTGACTAAATTGTAGAACTCCACTCACTATTTATTATGGGTTAGATAATTGCCCTACAAGGGTTTGGATACTTTTGACAGGGAAAAAACAGCAGGTCCTTAACTGCCGAAGCAAATTATTATAATAATTTAAACACTAATGCACCTGTGTTTCGCATTCGTGTTTACTCTCTGATTTTTAAGGGAAAGTAAGTGCAGTGGCTTAGCGTCATGCTGTGTGCACTGGAGAGCCAGCTTAACAGAAAGAAATAAAAAGAAAGAAGCCATGCCAAAGCCCACCACTGTCACCACACTTTCAAGCAATGATATTAAATATTAATCTTCATAAAAGGTTGTACTTTTGATCACACTCCAAACAGATTTTTAAAAACCCTACCGGCTGAATAAATTGCGGGATAAAAATTCTACCTTCCTACCTATTTAGGACCCTTTAATCTCACTTTTGCTGCAAGGAGTTTTTAAGCAACATCATTTCTTGCTTTCCATTAAGGTCACTTTATATTTCAAAAGGGGCTCTTGAGTGTTGGATTAAATTAAGATAATAAGCAACCTAACAGAAATCTTGTCGACCATTTTAAGAACTATTAGAACCTCAAGGGCCAACCTAAGAGCTGAAATTGGAATGTCATATTCATGGCAGATAAAATAAGTTTTTCAGCTGTTTTCCAACAGTTGTGGGGGGGGGGGGGAATAAACCAAAACTTAATAAAAACTTTGTGAGCTGCAAAGCAGAAAAATGAAATTAAAAAAACAACAACAACCCAGGGACACAGCCAAATGACAGACTTCCACAGTCTGATTTCTTGAAGCTCTAGAGCCGGCCTGCTATCTGAAGGGCTGCCATCAATCTGTTGCAGAGTGAAATCAATTGACATATTGCTATCGCACATGGTAAAAAGGCTTTAGATCCCAACCTGGATGAAATTAGCAAGGTTTTATCCACAGCTTATGTCCCCCTTTCTTCTGTTCTTTGGATTGTTTGAGAAGAGGACACGAACTTTGTCCCAAAACTGCCCTGTTTTCTTTTCCACAGCTGCCTTTATTATTTGTCCACACATTTTTTGCAACTCCAAAGTAGTTGTGTTTGTGTAGTTTCCGTGCACTTTGCATCCTGTACTTTTAAAAGCATAATTTCTCAACCTTAGCAAGTTGTGTGGACTTCCAACTCCCAGAATTCCCCAGCCAGCACCCAGCTTGAAGTTGCTGGGGTTGAGAAACACTCCAATGACTTCATTTCCCATAATCCCCAATTACCCAGATTGAAACTAAAAGTAACTTTCTGGCTGGAAAGCTGATTTAAAGCAAATTAATTGTTTCAGGCAACAGGTCCATGCAACAAGAACTAAAGGGAACGCTTGAGATAAGGAAGGAAGGAAGGGCGAAAGGAGTTGAATCTTTTACAGTAGAATCACAATGGAGCCTCCATAAACTGCAGCAGTATACCAGCTCATCTGATGGACACTCCTCCATCAGGAAACAGTCTGGAGTCTCCTTCCCTGCCTCAGCCGAACCTGCCTCACCTGGGCACCCGACTCCGATTTCGATACCCCGCTGGTCATCGCTCAGACCGAGCGAAAAACGGCCTTAACGAAGCGGTCGCTGACCAGGCGAGCTCAACGCCTCCAGCGCGCATGCGCCATCCTGCCACCCGAGCAGGCGCGCTTGGCTTCCCAACGCCGCTTCGCCTCTCGGACCGCGACACTCTGCT